CTGGGTCTTGCTCTCTCTTGCTTTCTTCACCCCTCCATCTTTCTGTCTCCTCGATTGCCCATATTTGCCGTTCTCTCTCCGGGCTGGACACTTTGTCCTCACGCTCCCTGTCTCCTTCTCCTCATGCCAGTCCTTCTCCTCCTCCTCCTCCTCTCTGCCTGGGCCCAGTGTGAGTGATAAATTATTCGTGGGCATGCTCGGAGGGCCCAGGGCTTCTCATTCCTGCACACAGAGGACTAGCATTGATCCAGCCTGTGGTTCAACTTAATTGGAAACCCAGTTATACCAGCTACAGACACACTTGCGCACAAAAACACAGCGCGCACACGCATGAACATGCACTCCCAGACACTCCACGTACAGTAAAGCCACATTCAGACACACATATGGACTGTTGTATGGTAGAGTATTACACCTGTGTGTAGATGCATGTTTGTTATACATGTTTAGTGTCAATGTTATTACACAAAACACACAAATGTGTCTCGTTTCTTCCCTTAATGCTTTGAAATGCGGCACAATTAACATTTTTAACTGTTTCACATCAGCTGTGTTTTACAGCAAAAATACTAAAAAACTCAAAATTTCATACAAGTGCGTATTGTATCTAAAATACAAGAATAAGTAGGTAAGCATACACACAGACACACGCACAAGCACACACTTTTTATAGCCACTAAGCCTGCATTCTAAGCAGCACTAAAGAGGAGTAACAGTCCACAGTGGAGCAATATGGAGGCCCAGGTTTATCGATTGGACTGAGACACTGACTATCATACAGCTAATAGATTACATCAGACACATCGAAGCGGCCCAGTCAATGAGGCCTGATCCTATTAACTGGGGATTTGTAAACAGTTGTGTGCTCACTGTGATGGCTGCTGTGCTGCTTTGTGAGCCTTGGCGAGGAGATGACGGCTGTTAGGGTTTGAGGGGCTGCTCGTATACAGCCGAACTCTGCCCCAGCAGACCAGCGATCACTCGGCTCCTCTATTCCGAATGTCGCAGTTTAGCTCACAGAAGACGACGCTGTCAGCAATTATAATTTCACACTAGTGAAAACAGCTTCGACAGAGTAAGATAATCCATGACAGGAAACACGAGTTCGTCCACGTATTTTCTTAGTTTGTTGTGTACGAGTTGTCATATGTTTGTCCTATGTGCAGCAGAAGTAATCCCAGCATTCTTTTCGAAACATTTCAGCTTAAAGGCTTAAAGTCAGAGCGGCATTTAAAAAGAAAAAAAAAGTTGGGATTAGTTCATTTCAGTAGAATCAGGTAAGTGCTGGTGTTGTGTGCATGCAGTCATTGTGACGGAGTTAAAGTTACAAATACAATCTTTAGGAAAGTATGTTAACTGGAGAGCTTTGGTATCTGCCTAGCAAACAACAGTCAATCAGTTCTCAGTCCCAAATCAGGACACTCTGTTGCTTGGTCAGGGTCAGCATCATGTTCTAACACAGCTGGTGTTTCCGAAGTGTAATATAAACTCTATAGTCAGACAGAGTTCAATAGGAGTCCCTCTATATCTGAAATGGACACCATGAGGCTCCAAGGAAAAAGTGCCCTGCTGGTGTTTTTACTGATGTGGAACATTTAACTGTGACAACAAAACTTGCAGATTGGAGATGTTTTCTTATAATAAGCAGTTAATGCTGTGAAAGAGAGCTTTGTTTTTTAAACTTAATAATGAAATGTGGTATCTTCACTCCCCATATAGTGACTGAAAATTCAAGTTATAAACAAAAGTAAAATTTCAGTTTATAATCATGTCCCAGACAGGACGCCCGTCTTCTGGCTGATTTTCATGTAATCACCTGCTTTCTGTATGGTAAAATGGTAAACAGTGCCGTGCATGCTGGAAATAATGATAAAGGTACATCAAAAAGAATGGGATGCTATCATGGTACCTGTTGCATTAAAGTATGACCAGAAAGGCTTCTAGGCAGGAACAGTATGTGATGAGTCCAGAGATGAAACAGCATATTGCTGCTACCTTGACAGCTATTGTATTTCACCACCTAGTCCTTCACTATAAACATCTACTGCAGCCTGTTTTGCAAGCTAGCACGAGTAACAGTTTTATCTGTGCTTTTTTGATTTCGTATATGACATTTGTAGATAATAGCTGATCGCATTTCTGGTGGGGATGCACCAAAATGTACATTGGTAATAGCGCTGTTAAATGGCATCAAACCAGATATGACATTTACTCACTGCAGTAGCAGTCAGTCTGCAGTTAAATGCTTTTCTAAGCGCACTAAAAATACAAAATAGTAACAGCTTCAAAAAGAATCCCCCTTAGACTTTACCATGTTGCTGCTACTTGATGCATTTCAACTTTAGACAATGTTTTCCCACAAATGTTTTTGGTTAAACTCTACGTGTGAAACTGGCTGCATCCATCCATCCCTTTTCTCCCACTTATTCAGTTCAGTGTCACGAGGAGGCTGGAGCTGCTATAGGGTGATAGGGGACAACTTAGACAGGTTGCCAACACAGAGAGGCACCAATAATCACATTCACACCTATGGCCCGTTTAGAATCACCAGTTGAACCTAACACCACTAACTGTGGACTGTGGGATTAAGCCAGAGTACCCAGGAAGAATCTACACAGACTCTGGGAAAAAATGCAAACTCTACACATAAAGGCTGTGGATGGTGGATTTGAACCCAGGACCTTTTGCTAGGCAACAGTGCTACCCACTACTCCACTGTTCCACCATACAATAGGTGGTCAAAAATATAAATACATCTAGGATGTCATAAATAATTAGTGGATTTACTAGAGATGTTTGCAAAACTTAGTTTAGAAACCATAATTAACTTGTATTGTTCTACTTTAATAGTGCTTTGAACTTGTGGCAACTAAACTAAAAGCAGTGGAAAGAAAGAAACGCACATCTAGCATTCCTACAAAGAGCTCCTGCAGCGAAAAAAACCCAGCCACCTCTGTCTGAAATAAACCTCACAAGTTAACAGCTCAGTTCATCTTAAGTCCATTACAGCATAAGCAATAGTTCTGTTTAACCAGCACTATGGCGGATGCTGGTCGTGGGGTTTTCATATTAATTTCGTGGCCTAAACCTATTCACACGTCCCTTCAGGGGCTGTGCTGCAAAGAGAGCTGCAAAGAGAGAGAGAGAGAGAGAGCAGGAGAGAAAGAGAGGGAGATAGCAGCACTGCGCTCTCAGCCAACAGTGTGTTTTTAAGAGCAAAACGACTTTTCCAAAATAAATAGATCTGTGTCGCTGACTGCTAGGAGAGAGAAAAGCCCTCGGTTCAATAATTAATTCCCGAGTCGAGAGTTTTGGAGAGCCGCTGATTGGGCTGATTTTTTCTTTTTTTTATTCTGTTATGATACAAAGGAGGCCGTTTGAAGTAATTTGTCCCAGAGAGAGCAGCTTGGAATACCATACATGCTTTGATTTAGCAAAGCAAATTTAATTTTGTTTGCTTTATGCAAACCAGCCGGGGCCGCGGGGCTTTCTCTGATTCCACCAGAGGGGTGATGGTGGTGGTGGTGGTGCTGATGATAGAGGTGGGGGAGTGCACACATCGGAATCACGCTGCTGCCGCTAATATATAATACAGACCGCACACTCGCGCACAGACACACACGCATGCACGCGGTGAGCAGCAACAGTTCAAAAGTACAAAGCTTACACACCACCCCACGCACACACGTGCACAGTCCAATCCCTTTGAAATCAAAGCTTAAAATAATTGTTTGTGCGTTGTGTTTTGTTTCATTCTATCCGTCTATTATTAGTGTTACTGGTATTATTCCTATCATGTTGTTTTAGCTGCTTGTTCGTGCTGCTTGCCAGGGTTTTGTTTTATGCTGCTAATGAAAGCTTCTCTCCCCGCTTTTGTTCTGCTTTATTTTTTTCAAATACGTGAATGGAATACATCTGTTTACATCTGCGCCTGATATTTCCCAAGATGTCTAACACCCAGCCGCACAATAATGAAGAGGCTACTTGTGGGTTTCTTCCCCCTTTTACTTTCCAAAGGCCTTTTTTTTTTTTTTTTTTTTTTTTAAATCTCCACGTCTTAGTGCAGATTTCGCCGTTGACTGAGACGTTACACCTTAGCGCGGAGCCGGATGCATGCATGATGTGTTGCAGTTTTATCATTAATGATGGGAGAAATTAGCTGTGTAGTATACCTTTAATTACCTTCCTTCTATCCTTCTGTACTGGAGAAATGAGTGCCTGTGTACAGATGTTGAGGCACACAGCAGAAGCGTTTCTCCTCAGGAACAGGAAAAAAAAAGAAAAGGTGTTCAGAATGGGTAGCCAAGCGGTTTTCTTATGCTCCATTCAAGTCATTTTCTTAGGGAACAATAATGAGTGGATAAAGCAGAAAAACCCAATTTCCTTTATGCTTTTTATATCCTGAAAAAGCCCTCATTGACGACCCTTTGGTCTTTTGTTATAGAAAACTGAGCTAATATCCTCCAGCTCTCTGCACAGTTTAAAGGTCTTAATTGGATTCCATTAGTATATTGCTTGACATGACACTTGAGTCCGCTCCATTAGAATTCCCCTGCCCGGGATTAAAAAGAAGATTTTTTCTACATTCGACTCTCTTGGCTCTTTTGTTAAAGTCTCATATATTCTTTGTTGGATTCACAGTTTTTAGTGACACCATTATTAAAAATGTAAGCTTGACTTTAAGTAGGTGCTTTTATGTCTAGAGGATCTGCTATTAAAGGTATGGCAGCGTCTCATCGCGGCAGTTTATGTATCAATAAACCTTTGCATTAATACAGTGCAAGCTTTACATGTGGGCCTGATAAAGTGTGTTGTACACCCCATAAAACCGTCCTCCAGCTTTTTTCTGCACAAGACTGGAGCGCTGAGCTCCCTGCAGGTCTCTTTTCAGGGTATCACGCAGAGTTGAAGTGTTTCCTCTGTGGTTTCAGTCGGTGTAGAACACAGGCCAAAAGGAAAGATGCGTTTGATGATATTCTGTTTTATGTCTCTTGCCCTAGTCCTGAGCTGACGTGGAGGGATGTTCAGCATCTGATCGCCAAGACAGCAAAGATCCCCGACCCTAAAGAGCCTGGCTGGAACATCAATGCAGCAGGATACCATGTTCACCATAGGTACCGTAAAACATGCATGCAACACAAACATGTGGCGTTACCACTGGGATTAGTCCCAGCAGTCTGCCAGCATCTCGCCTACTTAGCTTACTTGTAAACTAATTCATGTATTAATCAGTCGCATTAATCATTAGGTCTATAGATTTTTATGAGTACATAGCTGAAACACTTATTTTTTCTTACCCCAAGGTTGTGCAGACAGCACAGACTTTATAAAATCATTTCTCCAGTCCAAGAAAAATTGCAAAAATATAACCCCCATGGGCGTCGTAAGGACCTTGAAATATTTGGTGGTGGGTGGGGATGGCTCTGCCCAGCCCTGAAATTTTTTAGATTTTCACCCAATAAATTTTTGAGCGTATATATGAGTACAATGAATGTAGTAAAGGTTCCTAAGATGGTTCCCTAGCATAAAGTGTAAAAAACAAAACAAGTGCAGTCTAACTTCCCTTTCATCTTCATTGTCATGTTTATTTCCAACAGTAAGAGGAGAACAGAAGAATTATAGCCGTGATGTAAATAAAGCAGTCATAGGCTTGACTGTACGTTGCCAATACTTCAAAATAAAATCGACCAATCCGGATCTCCCGAGCTTCTGTTTCTCTTGTGCAACAACGGCCCTGTTTGAGCTGTGACGAAAATGAACTGTGACAAACTGCGTTAACTCTGTGTGTTATCTATCTGATACCCTCCTCTTCTTCACCTCTCCAGGAGCTCTTTTTGGTGTCTCATCTCTCTGTGACACTCCTTATCTGCTCTGCTGTCTCCTCCTCTTCTCTTCGCCTCCTGATTAGATTATAAAATGTTTCTTAGTCAGTTTATTTTATATGTAGATAGACAAAAGGCAAATGTTGTCTTTTTCTTCTGTATAATCATATGGAAAAGGTTTCCCTTCATGATGTTTATATAATACAAAACCACTTCAGAACCTCTGAGCTCAATTGGCTAGCACAAGTGCTCTCTTGTTCATGAACCTCAGCTTGTAGATGACTCATCTGCTGCAACAGCAACAGGAGACAACGCCTCCCTCACCTCCTCTGACCTCACTTGCACCTCATTGCCTTATACCTCCTTTTTATGTTTTTTATTTTTAAAAAAGGGTTATTATAACTGTTGACATCAGCTGCCAACAATGACTCACTCAGCTCTCTCACTGTTTTCAGGTTGTTTGTCCCATTCTCGTGAACACAATATCTCGAATTTAGCATCAACAATAATTTGTATTCAATGATTAACTAATTACATTCTGCTTGCCAGCATCACTATAAATATTTCTGGCAATAGCCCATAATTACCAAACTTCAAATAAATATCCAATAGGAAGAACAGATGACATCATATATCCACTGAATGATTTAAATAGTTTTGTGCATCTCCTGTGGCAGATGAATTGTACAGTCGCTTTATCTGTAAATATTCTCACTCTCCAATATTTGCCTATGTAACAAATATTTTATTTAACTAAAATGTGAAAAGTCATCTGGCCAAATAATTTCATTAAATTCATTTCAAATCAATTCAGTTCTGTTTATATAGCACCAAATCCCAGTAACAGTTGCCTCAAGGCACTTTACATTGTAAGATGAAAACCCTACAGTAATACAGAGAAACCCCAAACAATCAGAAGGGCCCCTTTGAATAAGCACTTGGTGAAAGCAGGAAGGAAAATCTGCCTTTTAACAGGAAGAAACCTCAGGGAGGTTTTCAATTTGATACCATAAGTGCATCTCCTAAAAATGACCTTGACCTCAAGGTTAGAGGTCAAGTTTTCTGAAAATCTTCTTAACATGATAACTCCAAAGAGATGTCATCTGGGCTCTCCAAATTTATACCATTCGTACATCTACTAGGAGACTGAGGGGTAGCACTGGCAGTATCAGTATTTTGGAATTTTTTAGTGTGAACGATTAGTGACGTAGTTTCAGTTACTAAAAGTTGATATCAAATTACTGCGGGCAACGTTGTATAATGAGAAGTTGTAGCTGCTGTCAAAGGTACTAAAAACGTCACAATTTCGACTTAAAAGTTTGTGCTGCTGTTGTGTAACAGTCATATTTGAAACTTTCTGACCTTTTTCTGCATATTTGTGAATTCAGAAATTCAGCAGTATTCCTTCATTTCTAAATACTTGTTTTTACTGCTGAAAAGCAAAGTAGTTCAAAATCATTATCTCCTACTGCCTGGGATTGAATAATTTTAATTAATTACAGTTATTACTGGTGACTTTTTGCCTCAATTGTAAATAACAGATAAAAAATGCAGATGAACCATCAGCTGCTGCTTTGTAGGATATATGTTGCTTGTGCCGATAATAAAGATAATCTTTCAATTACGTTACACCTGTGCTGTATGCTTCATGGCATCTTGTAGGCGTAAAATATAATACAGCAAGATAAAATATTTAGAGCATAAAGGAAGTTTTATGGGCAGATTTATAAAAAGTAGGATTCCATTAATTATACCTATGAACTATAATTTTTTCTTAACCATTGAAAACATCACTAAAACTTTGAAACTGCTATATTTAGAAGGGCACATCCTGCAAATTTGTCAGTCTCTATTTAGTCTGGGGCGTTATAGATACTTATGTTGGCCACTGAATCTATTGAGCTATATTAGAGAAATGAATTAATCTATTAAGTGGTTAGGCTCCGATGACCCATCGTGGCAGAACAGAACCCCAATGGTGATAGGGTTTAGGAAATGACTCCCCTGAAAGCTAGATGTTGGTGGTGGTGGCGGCTTGGATGGAGCTTTGAGATACTCGAGTAAGGCAGAAATGAGGAGGAGGTGGGTTGCACAGGTGATATTCTGAAAGGGAGAATGTTGGAAGAGCGCTGAGATTTAAAGCACATAGAGTGGAGGCTCATTGGCTCAATGAAGGTGGGCAAGAAGATGATTGGACTAGTGTAATGATGTCAGCATTGAGTTTGATAGTGTGGGAATGTGGAGGTGATGCAAAGAACAGTCTAACAGCTGAACATCTGGGAAAGCAGTCAGGTGAGTGATTACAGATCTTCTTTTAAGCTCCTTTTGATTCATTGAGTATTGATAGTCTTGTCAATAGTTTTACTAGCATGTCTTTTATGTTTGTGCTCTTTGGGGAATATACTTAACCAACCACTGGGGTTTTTTTTTTTTGTACTGCAACAGCACAAGTGACCTCTTGGAAACACTGACAAGAAGGTTGAGTAGCAACATCATGTCCAGCTTGTCAAGCTGGGCAAAAGATCCACACCAAAGGGGGAAAACAAACCTGATTTAAACCGATTAAACACCACTGGTGTAAAAACATCTCAACCTATTCTGAACCAAAGTAGTCACCCCTATGCAGTCCCCTGTTGGCTTCACTTGCAATGCCCGGGAGCAGTGTCCATCTTTTATGTACAGTTTATATCTGAGAGTTAACCTCTAGCAGTGACCTGATGTGTGACACTGCAAACAAGGCAGGCTGAAGCCTTCACTGTGGACTGGGAGCAATAACCACATATAGCCTCTGGCTTGATAAAAAAATATAAGTAAGAGAAAATCTCCAAACACATTAACACATATTAACATTTTATCTGTTTAACCTTAGTACTCAGGTGTTAACATAACAACCAGACTTCTACTACCTATCCACTGATGCTGTTTCCACATGCGCGCACACACACATACACACCACTTTTGTCTGTGCTCACACCTCCACACTCTCCTCATATATAAAGTGCTTCAACCACAAAAAGCAGCAGTCTGTTTTATGACAGTTGAGACAGGTGATCTTGTCCGGGGAGGAGTGTCATTGTAATCCTCTAATGTTATTATCACACCCACAGCGTGTCTGAGTGTCCGTACCTGCAGTGATTTACAGACACAGGCTGGAGGGACTGGAGCTTCTCTCTCTCTCTCTCTCAGTGTAGAACCAGAGCGAGCGAGCGAGAGAGAAACCCATGCTCTTCTAGACATCCCATAAACGGTTTTACAATGCTTTCACAGTGTCTGCCAGGCGATGACATACCGGTAATCAGTCATAGTGTTAGTGATGCTTTTCCCTCCTCACCGTCTCACTCACCTTAAACTTGCTTCTCTTCATCTTTGCTGTAACTAACACTCCTCGCCTCTCTTTGTAGTTTTTTTTCCTCAACATTCCTCTCCTCACCTTTTCCCTTTTTGCTCGCTGTTATTCTCGCTCACTCCTTTCTTATTTCTCTCTTCCATCCCCTCTTTCGCAGCATGCCATGTCATAAAATAGATTGTAATTACTGTGTTGCTGTGAGAAGAATGGATTAATTAAAATATAATGATGCCGATCACACCAGCGGGCATCTGTTGAAATCTGCCCATTTAGGGGCTATGGCAGAGGACTTGTAATGCCCTGATCATACTGCAGCGGCCACACTAATTATAAAGAATGGTTTATTACATGCGTCAGGACGGGTGGACCAGGCAGTGCCACAAGCACAGGGTCACTTACCATCAATAAGGTTGTTGCAATACATTAAAGATTAGATGTGATATCTGTAACGAGAGGATCCAGGTTTAAGAAAATTAAAGACAGTCCTGAAGCGCGTCGCTGTATGAGGTTAGACAAGAGATGCTTTCATTAGTACTTGAGGTCCTGAGAAGAAGATGGCTTAAATAAAATCAAGAAGAAAATGATAAAGAGCAGAGTGTGTTTTCGTTATTAATAATATTATTACCATAAAATAGTCCAACTGTACAGAATTATGTTTCTAAAAGTAGACTTTGGACAGACATAAAGTAGATCTGTTATACTAATTTCAACTTTAAATCTTTTTGGACTCAACTAGTGGAACTTGCATGATTCTTAGTGTAAATAATCCTTATTTATTCTTATGTATAATCTTTGTACTCGTCCTTGTTTCGTTTAGTTCATCCACTGTCTGAAACAAGCTTTGTCTCATTGGCTCACCTTCATAAATAGCAGGTCTGAAGAGCAGTTGTATGTATAAGGAGACCAAATTAAGGGTATCTGCTGTCACTGACACCATAGAGTGTAG